GCGTGGCACTTGTTCCTAGTAGCTTCTTGTAACTACTAGTAAGGCACTTGTTCCTAGTAGCGTGGCACTTGTTCCAACTGCTTTGCGTTTGGAATGTCTAACGCCCAGGAAGAGTTTCGGTCAAAGCCGAAAGAAGACCTCGTGGGATCGGAGAAAAAGAAGCACAAAGAAGCATAGTCTACAGACAGTCCAGGTGGTAGAGGATTCTTTCCTGATCTTTGACCCTGGTGGCGCTCACCAAAAACGGCCAAGCTCTTCTGAATCACCTGGAGCATGTTCCATCATGTTCCATCTCCCTCTTTCCATCGATGTTGCTTTTCTCCCTCAAATGAGGGCTCACAGTCAGCAGCCTGTTGCCACCGAAAAAGGATATTTCCCTCCACGCAAACCCACAACATCCAGGAGTGGATGTGCATATATCCCAATTCAACTCAATGGATAGTCATCTGTCCTTGCAAATGTCGTATTTGATATTCCTCTCAATCATCTGAATTCCATTGACTATCCAGTTGATATATTCAACTCAATGCATCATGAACCAACGCTTATCTGAACCAACGCTCCTCTCCCTCCTCTCGCCCCTCTCACTCCCGACCCATCAACCGATGTCGACCGCGAGCGACCTCCACCGCCGGAATCTCGCGGATGGAACGGTGCCGCAAGGAGGAGGTCTTGCCTCGCGTGGAACGGCGGTCCCGGCGTTTTGTGGGTCCCGGCTGGGCTCTTGGGGTTGAACGAGTTTTGTGGGAGGCTGGCTCTGGGGGTTTGATGCTGTCTGAATATAGTGGTGGCTAATCGATGTGGATGGCAACCAAGTGGTGTCCAAGTTTGGTCACCGGACCCTGCAGGGAGCTCAGGAGAGCAACGTTGAAATCCTTCAAGTCTTTGGAAAAATCATAGAATCCACACAACCCCCAACTGTGCTTTCCTAAATCCGATTTTCCGGAAAAAAACATCCCTCCACCGTTCACCGGTCTCTGCCGCTCCGCGGCTGGTGGCGCTGCTCAGCCGCGACGCGGAGCTGCGCATGGTGGGCAGCGCGCTTCGCTGGCTGCGCATGGGTGCCAGGCCGCGCGAGCTCTCCCCCGGCATGTCCTGTGTTTCCACCGACTTCTTCGGCGGGAGAACTGCCATGGGTCCATGGAACGGCAAAAAAAGGCTACTAGTAACAAGTGCCACGCTAGTAGTAACAGGTGCCTTACTAGTAGTTACAAGAAGCTACTTAGGAACAAGTGCCTTACTACAGCACAGAAGTCTTTCATGAGTTGAAGCCTTGAAGTCTTGCTCCCCCCGCGAAAAGCGGAAGCTAAGCGTCGACCTTTTCAGACTGGTGTTGGATATCTTGATTCTCCTTCGGTGGAAGAACCACTTCTACGGGAAATCCAACCTTTTCAACGAGCCTCGATTGGAGTTGCTAGTCCAGGTCCATTGGCAGTCCACCCGATTCTCTCAATATAACCTTCAGCAGTCAGTGAAAAACAAATACGCCAGGTGCCACCAAGGGGTGCCTATTGGAGGATACGGGTGCCCAGAATCCCAGAACATCCACTCACAGGGACTAAAACCATTCAAACGTGTGACTCCAGGAGCATGAAATCCACAAGAAAGTGCGTCCATCCAACTTTGCTTCTCATGTCTTCTTCTCTTCGAACAACATCCATCCGATGCAATGAACAAAAACCCAAGATCCCCGAGCTTGGTGAGGACAGCGAAACACCCACTCGGTGGGGGGCGGGGGAAAAACACCGGGTGAAAGAACCACCCCATGCGTGTGCGGACATGGAAAAACCCAAAAGGAACCGACGTCGTTCAGTTTCGCGTTGCTCCCGGAGTGGTCCCCACGGTCGCTCCTCGTAGTGACGACGCTGTGCTTCCACCAGCTCCTGGAGGTTGAAACGGCCGTCCGACTGCAGGGGGAGGAGGGTGGGCAGAACAGGGGGAGACGAGTCTTCGTCTCCGAAGCGAGGCTTTCGCATTCCAAAGATTCTTCATTCAAAGCAACGGCTCGCAACAGAGGGATGCACACAAAATGCCCAAGCACCAGCCAGTATTCTTGTTGGACCTGAGATCGGAGTGGTCAAGTCTCCCTGATCTAGGTTTAGTTGGTGCTCGTCAAATACAAAAGCGGACTTGTTACTCTCATCTCCGCTTGGAGCAGGGCTTTGACCTTTTTCGTTCCCTCATCTCACCCATTCCCTTCACTTCCTTCGCTTGTCGCTCACCGTTTGTTCTACGAACACCAGAACACCCCCCCCCCCCCCCCCCCCTTTTTTTCCCCCCAACCCCCCCCCCCCCCCCCCCCCCGCATCTCGTGTTCATCGACACAAGCTCCTCCGGTCTCTCTCTCTCTCTCTCCATCCCTCTCCACCCGCCACCGTTGGACATATCGACCCATCTCTCCGTGATGTGCACAGTGACCAGCCGCTCCACTGCCTCTTGGAAAGCAGTGGTCAAGTTGGGCTTCTCCTCGCAGGATGCACACACCATTGTCACTCTTGCTGCTGAAGAGGTGCTCGATCGGGAAAGTCTGTGGCAAGTCCAAGTGTCCCTTCCAAAAGAGATGGCTTTCCTCCAGATTCTCCAGAAAACATCATCTTGCAGATTGAAGTCCCTGGTTCGTCCCTGATTCTCCTGTGTCTCTGGCTGCTGTGGTGCCGGTGTTGCCTCTGGCAGCGTTGCCAACGATGCCAGTGAAGCATCCAGTGCGACATCCACATCAGCTGGGAATCTCGCCGGCGGGCCGGGGGGCACGGCAGCGGGGAACACATCCTCCTCCAAAATCTCCTGGCAACGAACGGCGTATTGTCAAAAGAAAGAACACGACAATGACATGCCACAGAAAGGATAAACCATTAAAAACATATTGATATTATGTCTAAGAAATCTGGGGTTTCTTGCATGCCCAAAAAACTGGAGATCGATTTCAAAAGTTTCCCCGGTGCTTTCCGGTGTATCTACGCAAGTGGTCCATGATTGTGCCGGACTGTGCCTGGTGCAGAGCAACTCTGCGAAAATACGGGCCCAGTGCAGTTGAATTATGTTTACTCAGTCGATGAAAGTAGGTGACAGGTGGTACCTTGCCCATTTCACGTCACGGCTGATAACTTCAGCATCCCTATATAGGATAGCTTGTGCACAAAGCTAAGTGTGCCATGTCGGTTGTGAGTTGTGAGGCGTCGTCGTGTTCCTCACTCCTCAAGTCCAGAAATTGGACTTCACTTGAGCTGGTGAGATTGGGAGTTGCTCGGAACCGGTTTTAGGTTCAAACGTGAGGGTTGTCCGGACCAGCTGGGACGAGGCATGAATGAAGCAATAACATCATGAAGCTGGTGTAGATGCATGTATATATTATATATAAATAAATAAGATGATCCCTCAAAACATCAACCTTGACTTTCGCCAAACCACCCCAGCCCCTCCAAATATCATGATGACACCACCGGTGGGTAGACTCCGATTGCGAAGATCCCCCCCGCTTGACCACCCCGGTCCTTGAGTACGGGAGACTTCGTCTCGTACATGGCGCGGGACGAGATCGCGGCACCGCCGCGGCGGAGCGCGGAGCAAGCGGAGCAGCACTTGGAGCGGAGCGGAGACAGCAACGGAGCGAGGCGAACATGCGGATCTGGGATGCATCTCGGTCCTTGTGATTCGAAGCTGCGTACTTGGCAGAAGGACAATCACTAATGCTAGTTTTGGAATCCTAAGGGCCTGGCAAGCACTTTTCTTGCTTCCGAGAAGCCCTCGACACCCTGAAAATTGAAGTTCCTGCAAACAATGGACATATTCTTGTGAACTGGTGCTAGCGCATTTTAAGGGAGAAACCCTGATGTTTCTTCATTGCAAAGTGTTGAACCTTCAACTCATTTCATTCCAAACCCTATGTGATGCAACCCCCTCAAAGTCTGTCACTCTGTGCAGGTCACAAGGGCGGTCAAAGCGATCCCCCACCAACCACATCGGACACCGATAGAAAAAAGGATATCATTTCATTTCTCGCGAAGTCGAGCTGAGAGCTTTCTTGGGCGTAAGCTGAACCCAAACGCTACCAGGACAAATGTGACCTCAGACTTGGGCCATTTGCTTCACGTTCGTTTTGCGACTGCAACCGCAACCTCTGCGACTTTTTATTCTTTCACGGACACTCGCAGGATCCAAAAGGGATCCCAATGCGACAAGAAGGTTCTGCTGGTTTCCAGCATCTTCTTTCAACTAGGTCAGCTCAGTCTTGGTCTCTTGGTCCTTCGAAGCAGCAAACCCTTAGGATCTTGAGCCCTTTTCGCAACCAACAGGCGGCGGAGTTGTTCTGCTTCAGGCTAGGGGCACCTGGCTTCCAGGGGGACTTGTTAAACATGCATAGTACAAGGACAAAAGAGATCACTCTACATCTCTATATCTAAAATAGTATATATTGTGTCGATAGTGAGATTGATATGAATCGAACACTTCGTACTGGTACCAAGAAAGGGCACACACCTGCATGCAAGAAACCTTTTCAAGAGCTTCAACCACACAACCACTAAATAATCCTCCTTGACATTACAAAGCCAGGTGGACACTACATAAGGAGGGTAGCAGGACTTCTTGACTGCTCCCTTTGGCTGTGAGTCCCAAAATTTACCAATAGGGGATCAGAGAAAGATTGAGCACAGAATATCAACAACAACCTCCACAGTCAACAAATTTATCTGTCAGTAACTTGCGGCACAACTCCAAATATCGGCCATTTGGGGTGCACCTCATCTCTTTTGAGCAGACCAGATCTTAAAATCTGCGACCCAGTTGAGCTTCTGTACGTGGAAAAAACCATCTCACGGGCATTCTCCGTCTGCCCAGTGTCTGAAGAGATTGGATCGGTCTTTTCGGCCAGGATCGGAAGCATCTCCCAGTCGCGCGAACGGATGACGGCCTGAAAAGCGGCCTCTGCAAATGAAGCGCCCCAAGCCCTGCGCATTAGGACTTGAGATGAAGTTGGGTATGTCACAGGTCACACAAAGTTGTGGAAACGTGGTGCATCTGTTGTAATTTACCTGTCCACGTCAGCACTGATTTGGGGACACCTTTTGGCGCGTTGCGCGCGACAGTTCTGGAAGCTTTAAAGTTTCTTCCTGACACCGACAGTTCTGCCCATGTTTCATGGCTCGTTGGCCGAAGAAAAGGCAGCCAAAAGCTTGCTTGTTTACATGGCTCGTCCGGGCTCTCAGCTTCTTTGTTTGACAAATAAACCGAAGAACTTTCTCTGGATTTGTTATCGGTTTCCAACACATCCATCTGTATAACGCAGTCCGACTCCCATTGTTGTGTGATGTATGAACACTTCAGTTTACTCTGCAGCAGCTTGTCTCACTTTGCAAAGAACTCCTACTAGTGCCTCTCCGTGACTCAAGAATGATCTACTACAACAAACCGGTACATGAAGCACAAAGACAATCACAGAAATACCTTTCTACACATTGGCTCAGCTCATTCCCTCCTCACCCGCTCTACACCATGGTTCATCATTCTTTCATTAAAAAACAGGGACAAAAAGCAAACCCTCTGAGCGAAAGCGCCGGTAAATCGCGCTGCGCAGCATGGCGCAGGACGTGAACGGGACGTGAACGCTCCCCTCACGCGCCGCTGATGCGATCCGCCAGCTCTCTGCGCTGCTCGGCGGCCGCCTCGGGGGATGGAACAATCATGAGAGCTTCTTGTTCCTAGTAGTACGGCCAGGAGCCCCGTTCGTAGCGTCCTTGCTCCTACTAGCGATGCCAACAAGACCCCGTTCGTAGCTTCTTGTTCCTAGTAGTACGGCCAGGAGCCCCTAGTAGCTTCTTGTTACTACTAGTAAGGCACCTGTTACTACTAGCGTGGCACTTGTTCCTAGTAGCTTCTTGTTCCTCACTTAATTATGCAGGCGCCTACTTAATTAAGGGAGAAACTTGTTCGCTCCTGGCTACTCAGAAGAGCTACTAAAGCTACTGTAACTGGAGGCAGGATAGCTCACGCTTCTTCAAGGAAGCTCCATTCCTTGAAGAAACGCTCGCACTATTCATGTGGTTGCGTGCGATCTTTATGGAATGATCACAAGTGTTTGATTCGTCTTCAGAGATTCAGAATGCATTGTTTTACATGTGGAAATGGCTGGACCTCATTAAGGACACTTTTGGGATGTGGATCTGATTTACTTTTTGGATCTGTTGGATGCGCTGAATCAGCTCATAGTGACTATGGTGTTTCAGTAGACCACAACAGGATCCCAGTTTTGGGGTGATGGATCCACCACTATCCAATCCAATATGATTTGGACCGAAGCCGGTGGTTCCCTGTGTTCTCGCGATTCGGAAAGCAGGTGGACCAATCCATGAACGATGGACCGGACATTCCTGGTATGGCTCCAACCGTGGTATACTTCAACTTCAACACATGAATCAATGGATAATGGACAGATTCTGGGCCGAACATGGTCTAACACAACTCATCTTTTCGGGTGAAGTGAAACAGATCGAAGCCAGCCCCGTTTGTTGGTGTGTCGACCCTCAAAACATCTCAAACCGGTCCTCGTTTCTTTCTATCCAGCACAGCCTGAACATTTTCCACATGAGCGCCACATCATGCCAAAATCGGCCTGCACACGCCTGGGAGACACCCATCTGGTTCTGTCACCAACTCCCTGTCCTCCTCTCCCCTCCAAACCCATCCACCTCGTGCGCGTCCAAGGCTTGTCGGATGGCCTCGCGCGCGCGAGAATCGGCGGCGCTGGTCGGATGGCCACAAGGGCAGGTGGCGTCCGAGCAGGGCAGGTGCTTCCGGGATGAATCGATCCTGTCTTTTGTGGGACTGAATTTGTTGTGAAACCAAAGGAGCAAAAAGAATGACCAGAGTTGAGTTCAGTCGGCATTACTTGTCCTCTTCAAGAAGTATAAGGGGTCACGGACGTGTCGAAAGCACATGGCGGCTCCAGTGGCGGCATTGTCCGACACAAAACGGTGAGAAAAGGAGGCATGGTCGAACCAGGTCCCGAAATCGACATGAAACAAAATACATGACACATGTCGACTTGGCAAAAAGATGGTCGAACACTCGCGTGATACAAAGAAATGACACACACACAGCCTTGGCTCGACGTCTACAGGTTCGATGATGATGGACAAGGCACAAACATAGGTCGACATCAACCGTCCAATACGGGCCAGTCTGCACGAAGAGAACATCTAAGGCTCCACAATCCATCCGTCTAAGGCTCCACAATCCATCCGTGAAACGAAGCTTGAAAAAGGTCAAACAAAGCAGCCTGTCAACGGTGGCAATTCTTCTAAGGCTTTGTCCTCCAAAGATCGTTGACATTCGGTGAACATCTCTAGGCTGGAGGGTCTCGCTAGTGGATTCGGCTGCAGCCAGCACCATGACAGGCGTTTGACTCCACAAATGTCATGTGGTTCCCTTCCTGGTGCTGGAACCTCTCCTGCAAGGGACCTCTGCGAAATCTCCTTGCTCAATGATCTGCCCACTTCTTTAGCGTGGCGCAGCAGACTTTCATCCACGGGCCAGACTTTCTCGCTGAGTTTGAAGCAAGCTCCCAGTTCACTAATGTACTGCTTGCACGGCTCCCTAGCCAAACGTTGGCTCGAGGCTTCGTGAATTGTCTTGGCAGGTTTAAACGCGGGGAACACCCTGCTCCCGCAATTCCACACACCCTTTCGCGTGAGAGAAAACGCCCAGCATTCCATTGTACAATCAGTGCGTGCGTTACACGGGATCCTTGTCAAATCTCGGCAGGTGCAACAACGAAATCCCTAGGCCCGAGGGCTCCACAAGAATAAAAACCATGCTCCCGACAGATAAAGCACTTCGTGACAGAAAACGACTTGGGCCTCTTGAGTCCTCAAAAACGGATCCTGTCCCGCAACCAAGTCAAAAGGCTTCGCAACCACACCACTCCCCACATCCATTTTTCGCCGTGCTCGGGACGGCTGTTTCGCCGTCTGAGACGCGCGCCTGGGAGACGGGTTGGTCCATGCCACTCGTTTGAGCTTCACCTTCCAAAAGCCTCTCATAGACCGTGCAGCTGCGGCTCGGCACGACCTGCCGGTGTTCAAAGAACGAAGCTACACCCGTTCACACCCGCCGGCGGTTGGTTGTTGATACTCCCCAACATGGTCTTGAGGCAAATCCACAGGATTTGCTTCATGGTTCGTGGTCATCCGGCAAACTCGCCGCCTTGTCGCGGGCTCGTCTCACTTTCAGGACTTGTCAACGCTTAGCCTATACATGGAGGATGGCTTTTTCATCCCGGAAGAAACTTATCCCACGGGCCAACCAAAGGTTAAACAGTTCTGAGTGCTGAGGGTTGACATAAAAACACAATACAGGGCACAGGGAAAACTTTTGCCTTTCATAGAACTGGTAGAATGAAGACTTTCAGTTCTCGCTTTTTAGGGAGTTCTCTGCCAAATCACCTGTTGCCAGGAACAACACACACCGCCCTTCCTTCCGTACTTCGTTCTCCTCCGTGCAGCTACGGACGGATTCCACGTGGATCTCTGGGGAGATTCGAGTTGACCAAAGCCACTGCAACCCGTTCGTTCGACCACAACGCCCACGCCGTGGTTCGAACCTTCGACGGGGCAAACTTCACTCCCAAACTACTTCGCCGGGGTTGGGGGAGTGGAAGGGTCGAAGGGGAATTGAAGGGGAGTTGAAGCGGTCGGCACCGGTGGCCAGGAAGCACCGAACAGAAGTGGACACATGGAACAACTGGTTGGAATGTATCATATGTTCCGGATCATTTCCCAGATTCTCCTGATTCAACTGGGAAAAAACTAGTTGATTTCTCGGATGACTGAGGAATCATGGAACAAATCATGGAACAACTGGTGGTGCGTATGTTTTTTTTGGGAGCTATCGATCCCAGAATACTTCAATCAGACAAAATCATCGAACATTCAGATCCAAAGGCTCATGTTGATTTGTTGCAAGGACGTCTGCTCTCTAGCAAAGGGCCTTTCTGAGGCTTTCCCACTTAACCACACTCCCATGGCATACAACCACTTGTATACGTATATACTATTCATTCCCACCCATTTCCCAACCCATGCCCCAAACCCAAACAGTAAACTCTCCATCGCATCCAAGCTCATCATCCTAACCGCACACCACTGCCACCAAACGAAACAACACCATTCGCAGTGTGCACAACCTCCCCGCGCACCCACCCCCCAACCGACTCTACGGCCGACTCCGCTGACTCCCTCCCTCCACCCGGTCCGACTCCACGGCTGACTCCCGCCACACCTTGAGGGTGATCGAGGCCATGCGGTCGTTGAAGTTCCCCGGGCCACCGGGAACGCCCTCGGGCGCCGAGAAGTAGACCCAGTCGTGCACCGTGCGGCCTGGCGTCCGCGACTCCGCGGCCCGAGCGCGGTCCGTGGTCTCCGCGGTCCGCTCAGGAGGGATTCCAGGAAGAGTCCTCGGTGAAAGACCAAGGGATTTGATTGGAAGAAAAGAATCGATGATGGTTAAGTTGAATGGCAGGACTTGTTGACTTCGGAGAAATTCCACACTCACCGTCCATAGTTCTTCAGGTAGAACACTTCAACACACACCTACTTTGATACACATGTCTGACAAGTGCATCGCTACTAGTAACAAGTGCCTTACTAGTAGTAACAAAAAGCTACTAATTACAATTCTAATTAATAGCTTCTTTGTTACTACCAGTAAGGCACCTGTTACTAGTAGCGAGGCACTTGTTTCTACTAGCTAGGGACGAGGCCAAGAAGAAAACCCTATTTTCACAGCTTCGCCTCGTCCGCGGAAGTCGTGGGCATCGGAGTCCAAACAGACCTTGTACCTGGCGCCGGAGGCTGGGCGGGTCATCCCCTGGTTCCTCCGGTCTGCCCGGAACCCATTCTTTTTGGTCCCTAGCTAGTAGAAACAAGTGCCTCGCTACTAGTAACAGGTGCCTTACTGGTAGTAACAAGAAGCTATTAATTAGAATTGTAATTAGTAGCTTTTTGTTACTACTAGTAAGGCACTTGTTACTAGTAGCGATGCACTTGTTCCTAGTAGCTTCTTGCTCGTAGCTCTACAGGATCGTCCCTTAGAAGTGGATTTCCGTGCATTCTGTTTTTGCACACTTTGAAGTGTATGGACAACACTGCGTGGTCAAAAACAATGTGTCTCAGAAGGCTCACAAAGTGCAAGGAACTAACATGAACCAACATGCACCCAATCTTTGTAGCCAACAGCTCCCAAGTCCACCAATGCATCATGCTGATGTTGGTTTCACATGTCTGAAGAATGAATCTCACAAAACGGACACCCCAAAGAGAGCCGCGTCGCGCATCCGACTTGCAAGCTTCAATGGCGAGCGAATAGTCCCTAACTTCATCAGCCAACCATGCCGTTTCCAGAAATAAACTGCCACCAAATTGGGCCAAGCCAGGTCGAGAAAATCAAGACAACCGTACCCTACCAAGCCTCCAAAAAGGAAAGCCGTCTTCCACCAAATCCTCTATCTCCCCTCTCCCCTCTCCCCTCTTCCCCTCGCTCCCTCGCGCCTCCCGTGCTCGCGCACACCCACCTTATAGTCAGCGTAGTCATTGCCTCGGACCGCCCCGAACAAGAAGCTAGTAGAAACAAGTGCCTCGCTAGTAGTAACAAGAAGCTACTAGGAACAAGTGCCTCGCTAGTAGTAACAAGAAGCTACTAGGAACAAGTGCCTCGCTAGTAGTAACAAGAAGCTACTAGGAACAAGTGCCTCGCTAGTAGTAACAAGAAGCTACT